CGTTGACACCATCTTTGAGCAGGGAATTGAAATATGGGCCATGGTACTAATAAACGCTGATAGTGTGCGATTCAGTGTCGATGGAATTCAAACGCTTCGATGCCAACCAAAAAATTGGCCATGCTGGCATTCGAGGATGCCTCCTTGACCTTAATTTAGGTGTTCCTGCCTCTGCCTTTCGCGGCGTGTTATCGCGTGACGACTTGTTAACAAAGTGGTGAAGCTTCCACATGCTCCAAGGGAACTTCCCTGCCACCCGCTTCTTTAAAGGGGCACTATAGAAGAACAATGACTTGGTTTAGGTTAACAAAGATCATTCTGAGAATTCTGATGATATATGTTTAACTATCATAAGTTCATTATTAGCGGAAAATGAAGGTTGAAGTTTAATTTTTTGATTCGCGCGGAAATCTCCACGTGTAACGTCAAGAATTTCAAAATGTATTTTTGGTATTTTCGAAGCATTGGCTTGACTAAATTCTCCGACACTTCGTATGCTAAGTCTAGGGTACACATGGATGTCATTTCACTTGATTGTGATTGAAAGCTATGTAGGACCCAGTATACAGCTCCGAAATTTCTTTCGTCACGGTGTTTTCGGTGGGAATCTCAAAGTAGCGTCGCCAACCACATTTCCTTTTTCGCAAGTTTCCTCGCTTACTAAGCCTCATGTCGTGGTAAGCGTAATGTTTTCGGGATCGTTAACTCGTACTTATTCAATACCAGAAACATCATTTCACACTTTAGTGTTCAATTAAGTGTGATAGCACCGACTAACATAACTGCGACCATAAGCGCCGCAAACAGGCAATGACACTCACGGTCGAATGTTACGCCTTGGTTGAGGGAGACACACGCCAGCAGGACGCCTTTGCGTGTTCATGGCGCGATCTAGTAACCACAGCCTCCCGTGTACCTTAAGTGCAGCTTGGTAGCGTTTGCATGATCAGAGGCTCTGGCTAGGGTATCACTCGGGAGCGCTCATAGTGCGGTTGCTCTCCTGAACTAATGGCGCTCTTTGAAGAAATGTATATTGCATACCACTGTTTGTTATTACATAATAATCATACAGACATCCTCGACAAATTTTCGCCGTTGCCGTCATGTTCTGTATAAAGTCTCAATCGGTAATATACCCCGCGCACCGTATCTTCTATCCGCCTTTAAGCACACGCTACCAGGCGCGGAGAACAGGACTGAAGCAGAGATCGAACTAGCTGGCTCATTTTAGTCACTGGGAGGGTGCATGCGATAACAGCTCCTCTGCCCTCCCCCCCCCCCCCCGGGTTTGTTAGACACGCCGTTGAATGCAGTGGGGAAACGTCCCACCTTCTTTAACGAGTACGAATAACACGCGGAGGGGAGGGGTGGTCTCGCTCGAGCAGCAACTGTGAACTTTGATTCTACGCGTGCGTGGTCGTACTTGCGCGCTCTCTCTCGACAGGCATCGGTAGTCGGCTTATGCACCCATAATCTCCAAGATGGCGGGCGCGCGGCGCCACACGCCCGCCATCTCGGAGGCCATGGTGCATCCTTCTGCGTTCTACGCTCTCGTCGCGGAGAGATTAAGCGAAAAGGACATCTCTCCCTGGAGCCTCCTTACGTATACGCCAGCCTTACTATACCTTACTATACGTATCGACTCACGATAAAAGGTGTAATAATAGACTAATAATAATAATTGGGATAGAGCAATGTACAACACGTACAAGCCCAAACCCTTTATACAAGTAGGTAACTTAAGCGTTGACATATTGGACCCTATAGGGCCCAGCTTCGCCCACTCCTGATCACTCCGGAAATATGCGTGTGTTTTTTTACCTCCCAGCCTGCATTATCGTATTGGGACGTCAAACCCAATTTATCATTGTTAGTTCACACTAACCCCGTGTATACTGCATGTGCTCGTTTCGTGCGTCTTTCTTTGTGGTTTAGCAGCACGCTTCAAGTGTCCAGTTGCGACAGTTGTTAGTTCCCGCTCGTCTTGTGTGCGCTATTTTAGTTTGACCTTTCCGTCGGAGGAGCCAGCTGCAAGAATACAAATTGTAGCTAGCGTTCATTCTTTTGCACTTGTTGCGAAACAATGAACAATTAACGGTAAACCACCTATATGCAAACACACGTTTCGCTCTCCTGTTTTACCGAATCCTATATGACAGAGACAGATCAGCTATATTCGTTTTAATGTAAGACCGTCTCTATTTTTCAGAGTCAGTGTTCGCAGCATCGTGACCCCCCCCCCCCCCCCCTCCTTCACTATGAACTCGGATGGAAACGAGTGCCCTTTACTGATTGCTAGAGAAGCAGTGAAGTTAAAGTTAATGAAATCAAGAGTTACACAAAATCTGAAATACGTTTGCGAGTGTGACATCGAAAGCATTTCAAGCACGCATCCCTGTATATGAACCAAAAGCGCATCTGCGCAGCGAGGAATCACGCAATGCATTTATAGTAAAACAACGCAGGGGCGAAGGAGAAGAGATCAAAAGAACGCAAATGTCGTTTCACATCTCGTCCTGCGTCTCTGCCTGCATTCCTAGATTCTGTTATCCGGATCTTCACCAACTATGATTTGATTGATGTGTGGGGTTTAACGTCCCAAAAGCATCATATGATTATGAGAGACGCCGAAATGGAGGGCAGTGGTAATTTTGACCACGTGGGCTTCTTTATTGTGCACCCAAATCCGAGCACACGGGCCTATAACATTTCCGCCTCCATCGGAAATGCAGCCACCGCCAGCCTGCGATCCCACGACCTGCCGGTCAAGGGCCGAGTATCTTAGCCACTAGACTGCCACGGCTGGGTATATTTACCAACTAGATTAAACATTCTGCCATACTACTCATTTGTTCTTAAAATGGTTAGCGCAAGTTACGACCCTTATTGGCGCTAATAGGAATTTAACTTGCATCAGTCACAATATCACGTGTTAGTAAGCCTTTCAATCGCTACATTCCTAAGTTTTGCTTAGCTTGAAACGATCGTTTCAATCGTTGAATTGGCGGCGCCATCACGCCTCACGTGAACGAATTAAAAAAAATGGACAGATCCCACGTGCAGTGGAAATCGATGATATGCGAATCACGAATGAGAAAGGTTGATATGTCACTGTAAAATCAGCACATTGTTTCGAGGTGGCGGTAAATTAGGCCGTACGTGACTTCCGTGTCGTTTACCTTCGTCATCTATTGACGTCACGGGATACCAAATTTAGAACATGTGGAGCTAGTTAAATGGCCGCGAGCACGCTATGAGCGTGATATGTTGTCATGTTCTTATGTAACACGCGTGCCAGGATAATCACGTTTGCACCAGTCGTATACCTTCATCATCCATTGACGTCACGTAACACCAACCTTGGTATATGTGGAGCTAGCAAAACGGCCGCGAGCGCATCATGAAGGGCCCAATATACTCCAATGTAGCGCTGACGCGCGCGTACGCTGGGCGAAACGCGAGCACTGTATATTCTGTCGCCAGGCACGACCGACGTCCGTCAGCGCGGCCTGGCGGCAACATGCGCGAAATACGACATGCTGCATTTCGCGCCGATGCGTTACCCAGGCAACACAACGCCTGCCTCTTTTCGTGACAGAGGGACGCCGCACGCGCTGAAACGCGCATGCGTCAAAGCAACGCAGCGCGGCGCGCGCCTGCGTGTATATGGCAGGACCGGCGCCTGGAGTGGAAACACCGGCGTGACGAGACGAAAAGAACGCCGGCGAGCACACGCATCGGCTCTCGTCAAAATGTATTGGTGCCTTGACTGTGGCATGTAGTCATGTTCTCACGTGACACGCATCTCATGATTTTCATGTTTGCACCAGTCACATACCTTTGTCATCCATTGACGTCACGTAATACCAAATTTGGCACATGTGAAGCTAGCGAAATGGCCACGAGTGCATCATGAGTGTGGCATGTAGTCATGTTGTTACATGACACACACCTCACATTTATTATGTTTGCACCAGTATCATACCTTAATTATCCCTTCACGTCCCGTAATACCAAATTTGGTATAAGTAAAGCTAGCAAAACGGCCGCCAGCGCATTATGAGCGTGGCATGTAGTCATGTTGTTACATGACACGCATCTCCTTATTATCATGTTCGAACCAGTCACATACTTTCGTTATCCATTCAGGTACTGTAATACCAAATTTGGTATATGTGACGCTAGCGAAACGGCCGTGAGCGTATCATGAAAGTGGCATGTAGTCATGTTGTTACATGACACAGAAATCATGATTTTCATGTTAGGGTCTGTCGCTTGCTTTCGCCATGCAACCATGTCATAGCATACCAGTTTTGCAATATGTCATGTGAACGAAACCACCGCAAAAGCAGCAGGATTATGAAATGTAAATCATGACATTCATGACATACGTGTCATGATTTTCATGTTATGACTAATCAAATATGGTCGTCTTACAGGTATGTTATGCCATACCAAGTTTGGTATCGATACTGTTATCGAAACGACCAGGAGAGCTAAAAGTCGTAGGCGGATAGATAGATAGATAGATAGATAGATAGATAGATAGATAGATAGATAGATAGATAGATAGATAGATAGATAGATAGATAGATAGATAGATAGATAGATAGATACGCTAAATGTCGCTGAAGTTCACTAAGCAATGCTTCGCATTAAAAAATAATACTTAGGAAGTACCTTGAGCGTGTTTATGCCGGTCCTTACTTCAACAGCCCTTGCCGTGGTTTCCTGTTAAATGAGTTCGGATGTGACTGTTTTCTGATGCGTCACAAGTATACATATCACTTTCAGAGCATCTTAACTGCCATGTAAGTTTGTGCGAAAAAGCGGGGTGTTTGTTCACTTGCTTTGCTTTTTCGGAAAGGGGGGGGGGCATCCACAGTCACCTGTCAAAAAGGGGCGTTGCTATTTCTTTCGGATACGAATCTGATTACCCCCGCTGATCAGACGCCGGTGGCGACATGAACTGACACTCGGCACAGTGTGTCTCTTGTCTACGTTGCAGTGATGGGCAAGCGCAAATGGGAAGTCTTATATTTGAAACTGAAAACATTGACAAAGATCGAAATGGTGGCACTGAAGAGGGAGAACCAGCAATGGCTTCCTTCGCTGGACACAATGTCAGTGGGCCCCGCCCTTGCCAACGCCATCATGAAAGCCATGGCAAATAAGGGCAGGATAGAGTTTCGCCGGCGCGCTGCGTGGTTCTATTGCTGGCTACTAACAGGGCGGCGTCACACCGGTCTGTGGCTCTTTTTACGCATCGAGGAGGCGACAAGGGATGACCAGGATAGGCGCAGCAACCAGGGCAACAGAGGCAACAAAGATGACAAGGAGAGAAAGGATGAGAACAAGAACGACAACGAGGAGGACGAAGACAACAAGGGTCCGAACCCGGGTGGCGCTGTTCTTGACGCCGAATCTGCTTTCAAGGATAGTGCGGAGTATTTGTCGAAATATATTAACTGCAACGTGACCGTAGAGTGCATCGAAAAGAACGGTGCCGTTTATGCGTGCATGCTGGTTAAGAAAGTGCAGGGCAGCACTGCCAAGATATACCGAGCCTATCTGGTCATCTCGCAGAACAAGACGCTACTGGCCATAGGCGTTCCGAGGTCGGGCGTGCCGAGTTTGAAGCGTGGACTGCTCTATGGTTTGGAAGCAACGATTCCGCAAAATTTCGCGGTAAAGCCTTGGCGTCTGCAAACAAGCTACTTTGACAGGGCGCTACTGGAGAGGCTTCAACGGAACGGTAAGTAAGCGACGTACTGCAGAAAGTGTATACACGTGAAGCAAGTGTTGTTTCGACAAGCGCACGCCCCCTCGTATGCAACAAGTATGTGTATATGCTTTTCGGTCCCAAGAGTGGCTTGTTTCCTTCCCATTATACCCTAACATCGCGATCCGGTCGTAGTCAACGGTGCGAAATATGTATAACCATGGCGGTTTTGCGCAGTGATTGCTTTGAGTTGCCCACACGAAGGTACATACATTATGGAGTTTCGATTTGTCGCCCATTTCGGCGTGAGGCGGCACTTAATCGCCATGCAACTACACGGGTACCGAGGCTCATTATTTGACAAGTTATCGACTGCGAATGCGTGCACAACGCTTTGAGATCGTGCAATCTTCCGCGGTAATGAGGGCGAGCAATTAAAGCGTGTTTTCTTCGTAAGCGCATCAGTATTATTCGCAGTTTTTGGGCAATAAAAGCTTGCAAAAACAGTTGCAACTTAAACACTCAGTGAGGAAGACAACGTTGAGGCAAATGCCCATGCAGGCGGCATTTTGCCTTCGCCTCGCACACGACCACAAGTCGTGCACCTTGTCCATAATCATTATATACTGCGCTTCAACTGTGAGTCTATATCTATATATTGAGTTGAGAGGACAGATAATCTCAGCGCGAGACGTTTCATTAGAGACCTCGGCAACAAATAGTATAAATGAAGGGGATTCTCATAACAAACGTATAGCGAGAATATTGCGTAGCATTCCATAGTAGAGCCATTTGTTTACCGCAGGGGTGCAGCTCTTATCGTGCTCGACTGCTCAGCCGCAGTGGTCACATTTCGACGGAGGTGACATTGTACAGACCCGTGTACTGTGTGATTCGAATGCACGTTAGAGAACTTCAGAGGGCCAAATATCGGGAGCCCTCCGTAAAGGCGTTCAACATTATCATATCATGATTTTCGGGAGATAATGCTCCAGATAGTATTAGTACTATTAGCCGGAGCATTCGGGTGTAATTTTTCACCCACTGCGGTTCTTTATAATGCACTGCACCCCGCCGCGGTGGTCTAGTGGTGAAGGTACTCGGCTGCTGACCCGCAGGTCACAGGTTCAAATCCCGGCTGTGGCGGCTGCATTTCCGATGGAGGCGGAATCGTTGTAAACCCGTGTGCTCAGATTTGGGTGCACGTTAAGGAACCCCAGGTGGTCGAAATTTCCAGAGCCCTCCACTACGGCGTCTCTCATAATCATATGGTGATTTTGGAACGTTAAACCCCACTAATCAATCAATCATTTATAATGCACTGCACTCTGAGCACGCCGGTTTACACGATAGTTTCTGCGCGCAAGGAATAAGGGCTCAGAGGGTTAGAATTGAAGATAACGCTGGTAAGTTGAAGTGGATAACACGTTCTTGTCTTTCTTTTCACCACAGTGGGCCCATTCAGTTGATAGATGGCGTTATCGCGGTCTTGTACGATTTTTTCTCCGTGTTTGTCCCCATGTTTCTTGCCCTTACGATCTTTCAAGAGAAATTTTACCGACTATCTCAACTTCACGTCGATCAACGCCGAAGAGGGGTAGCGGTATCCAATCTCTGTCGTGGCGACCGCATTTTCAATGGAAGGGAAAATGTTTGAGGTGCTTGTGCTTAAATTTAAGTGCACGTTAAAGATCTCCTCTCACTTAAAAGCGTCTATCGTAATCATATAGTAATTGCGAAACGTTTAAGCTGAACAAGTATACTGTTATTAACGCCAGAGAGTGTTGCGTAAAGGCTCTGTTGCAACGAGGTTACATCGCATGCACGACATCGCTTAAATGCTCGTCGTGTGTTATGCTACGTTATTTGTGCTGCAACTGCAAAACTGATTACATGAAGAATATTTGTCCATCTATACATAATTTAAAGGAGAGTACAGAAACTTGACTGCCCACGTAATCTTAGTCGTGGGCTGCATATAGAGATTGCGGTCACGATTTACAAGGTTGTCTATCATTCTCATGCAAGAATATTTGTTTTTCACTACTTATATTGCCAGAATAGATTCGTCAAGACGGGAAACTTCGTTCCCACTTTTTTCTTAAAAGCCTCAGACGTATTATTCGAAGGTCGCAGGTTCTGGCCTCGCCTTTGGCAAGTTATATTCTCGTCCACTTTTCTTTGTTCACATTCACGTTACAATTACTTCTAATATCATCCTCTATGCTTTCCTTGACATCATTCTCTGTTAGCTCTTATTAACACTGCGCCTAAAAAAAGCCCTAAATTAGCACTTGTTTTCCACGCAAACGCATACCATAAAGGAAAAAAAAAGAAATTATTCACACAGAAACTTCGCCAATTGAAACTAGATAAGAAAATAAAACTGCAAGGGCGAATTTGCGAAGCATCGTCATCTTTCTGGCGAAATAATTCATGGTAAAGTATTTTAGTTATCACTGGTATTTTCTTCGCTCAAACATGTACACACTGGGTCAGTAGTTCTTGCTTTTATTCTTTACTTCCCCTGTTCACCGGTATAAAACGATATTTCCTTTGGGCACTATATTATTCAAATATGCCCAGAGTTGCTCAGGCTTCTTGGGCGCAGCATTATGTTGCCAGATGATGCTGATTCACTGGAACGAAAGACATTTTTTCTTATATATCCTGCTGCCAGTGTCATCTCGCTGTGGACTGCGGTGTATTACCAAGTCCAGTGCACTTGCGCTAGCCTGGCCGACAGGCAATAAAGAAGGATTCCAGATTGCGCAGATGCTCGTCTATAAGTGGGCGGGAGAACAAACTCGTGTTGTTCCTGAAGCATTTTCAAATAAGACTAATCCAAAGCGAAAGCCATCTCTTTTCATCTGATAAAAAGTGAGCGCTCATCGATTAGGTAATCCGTAGTGATGAAAACAGACAAAAGTTATGCACAGCGAAGATGCACTGACAAAGTCACGCTTGCCTAGAGTGGCCAGCTGGCCACTGAAGTCGCCGTTTTCTTCAGAAATATGCAAATGACGACGCCATATGTAATACCATGCATGATGGCCCTACAGCATGCTTCGCCCTTGGGGTCTTATTCAAGCGTGAACAGAAGTTTGTAGCTAATTGCAGGTGGCAGTTGCGGCCCACAAAAATGCGGACAGCCATACGCTGCGCTGCTCTAGACGAGTATTATTCTATCCGCACGCACAAAGACAAGTAAATAAAAGTTCATTGGGAGAACAGCGAATGTAAACAGTGTACAAGTACAAGGACCATGTGAACCGTTAGTTGATGTTCAGACTGACTGCTTAGGCGGTTTTCTACACCCAATTCGGTTGCGCCAGGCTACGGAATCGGAGGCTTCTTGCAGCTCGCACGGCTCTGCATTACCTCCGCGTGTGGCCCACCTTTGAACAAAGGACGATGACATCTAATGACATGTTCATGCCCCGCCGCGGTGGTCTAATGGCTTAGGTACTTTGCTGCTAACACACAGGTTGCGGGATGAAATATCGGCTACGGCGGCTGCATTTTCTATAGACGTTAAAGTGTTGTAGGCCCATGTGCTCAGATTTGGGTGCACGTTAAAGAACACCAGGAGGTCGAAACTTCCGCATTCCTTCACTACGGCATCTGTCAAAATCTTATGGTGATTTTGGGACGTTAAACCTGACCCACATATCTAATCACTTGTTCATCACGTCGTATATTTTTGGGATTCATGATATCGTGACTCGTGTTGACTCTGACTGTCTCTTTTCGCGTTTGATGAGACATCTGGGAGATTCCCGTTATTGAATAGCTCTGTATCGATGATAATAGAGCACCCCTTCTTTGCAGACACAAACTTTTTCGGTATTCGTGGCGTGTATGATTACGAATTAGGAGCACCGCGTCTCGCGTCACAAATATAATCACGCGAAATAACACAAGACTGCTGACTCAGCAAGGGTGCGCATTGATATGAATATCATTCTTTCTGCCAAAGATTGGAACAACGCTTTGGGCTCAATGTGAGCCAAGAAGCCTTGGCATAAGCCCACTTGAACGAGTTTTGTGTGCGTACCGTAGCATCCCTTGTTCTCGCCTCACGCCCACTCTCCTAATTGAAATCCCTCCCTCCCGAAAACAATGATCTGGCCATCACTTGAAGACCCAATTGACAGATATAAATACTGAAGGCTAGGAATGTTACGGTTTTTCATTTTCATCTAGCGTGGACTAAGGAGTACAATCAAATTAATCGCGGGGCGCTATATCGCTCTTGTGACTTGCAAAATGACATTTCACCCTCCGTAGTTAAAACTGGTTGTTTTGTTCCAGGACGCCCTCAGAAGAGCACTATTCGAGGCTTTGATCTCGGTATATATGCACGACTGTGTCAAGTGTTTCTGAGGCTGGAGTATGTTTTGTAGCTTCCATGTTTTGTAGCTTACATGTTTTGTAGAACCCATGTTTTGTAGCTTACGTGGTCAGCGGTCCTGGCCCATTCCCCCCGAACCCTTCACTCCAATTCAAGCCTTGCACTTCACACATTATTTCTACTGACAGCTCATTGCACTATACCAAGGTGCAAGAAAACTTTATAGGTGAGCGAACGGCGCAAAGCGAGTGCTTGGCACGGAGGGACCGATCATTTTCTCGTTTGCGGCGTGCCGATAGATGGCTCGTCGGACTGAGGACCGTGGCGGGCTGCTGGCAAATTCTGCGAAGCACATTCAGCACGTGAGCGATGGTTTCCATATAAGCTGGTGCACACCGGCGACTTGCAGTGGTCGCGGGACCATTCGCGACTGGCGACTAAAAAGCGATTGATGTTCACACCGGCAGAGAACAAAACGACACAGAGGCAAGAAGGACACGAAAGACACGAGCGCTAACTTCCAACTGAGTTTATTGCGCAGAGCGCGAAAATATATACGTCCGGATCTCGTTATCAGCGAGAACTCTGGAGACCCGTGACGATCAGCTGATCGCCGCCAGCTGAGCGAACCGAGCGCGCCGCATTTATTGTTTTCATCCGTTCTCGCGCAGCGTTGAAAAAAAAACAAAACAAAAATTGAGCATCGCTGATTGGTTCCAGCAGCTTTGCGACTGCAGTCGCGCGATTGAAAAATCCGTCAGAAAGCGACTGGCCAAAGCAGTCGCTTTGCGACCGTTCGCGACTGTATGCGACAAGTCGCAAATGGTCATGCGACTGCTGCTAGTCGCCGGTGTGCACCAGCCTTATCTGAGAAAACCTGGTAATCGCGTGATATCAACCACGCGACACGCATAGAGCGGCGCCGCGAAAGAGGGAGTGATAAGGGAGAAGGTTGACGGTGCGGCGAGGGTGTTATAGCGACGATAAATCAGCACCGCTACTTTCCTACATCATGGTTCTTTCCTACACCAAAAGGAGGGGGAAAGAAAGCCGGGGCGTTTCATCTAGGGACCTTACCGGGGCAAAGTTTGTAGCGCCATCTCCCAGGCTCCTAGCGAAGAACATTATCGGGCAGTGGATTGTCCTGGCGTTCGCTCACCTGAAGTATTCTTGCACCGTGCACTGTACTATGTGCTTTTTAAACAAACGTAATATAGCATCTGTTTGGTGTCAGGTATGCATGCGAAGCCGCGTATAACACGAAACAATTGCAAAACCTTAGTTGTGTTTTTGAGGACACGTTAGGGTTAGTAAGGCAGGGGGACACATTTTCTTTCCTTTTGAGAAATTCATCTCCCTTGGGTCGCCGATTTCAGCGTTCATATGATCATTCTCAAAACCAATCCTCCCGTCTAGTGGCTAAGGTACTCGGCTGCTGACCCGCAGGTCCCGGGATCGAATCCCGGCTGCGGCGGATGCATTTCCGATGGAGGTGGAATTGTTGTAGGCCAGTGTGCTCACATTTGGGCACACGTTAAAGAACCCCAGATGGTTGAAGTTTCCAGAGCCCTCCACTACGGTGTCTCTCATAATCATATGGTGGTTTTGGGATGTTAAACCCCACATATCAATCAATCAATACCAATCGTCCCGTATGCGTTCTCTGCTCTAATAATGAAAGTGTGTTTACGAGATTTTCTCATGTCTTCCCAAATAATATAGGAAGTTTCAGCAGCTCTAGAACACAAAAAAAAAGTTAACTCTCTTTGTGTTTCCCGTTACAACGCATGCGAATTCAAGCAGGAATGATACAGGAGTGTGCAAATCAAAAATAAAGGCGAGTCAACGCAGTGCCTTTATGGTAATTTTCTTTGTTTCAGAACAAACTGTCTACCCACGTAGGGATTCCCTGGCTAAGGGCTCTACAGATGAAGACTCTGGAGATGAGGACTCTACGGATGAAGATTGCTGGGATGAGGACTCCTTGGATGTCTCTGGGGAGGAAGACCCTGCACAATTTGAGCAAACGCTTAAGGAGTCTATGGTCGTCCCTTTACAGGAAGCACCTCAACCTCGATCCTCAAACAGTACGTTCATGCTACAGTAGAAAAAAATACTTGTCGCAATTATTGGACTATAGCTTTTTGCAGATAAGATCATGGTTAAACCTTTATTGGGGTCCACAGAAGACGCAGATAGCTTGCTAATAATTTTTTGAGGCCTATGACGGTAACCTTATGGATTCATTTGGACAAGAAACACCCCATCTGAGGTCTTTCATTCAATCTTAAAATATATATCGTGCTGGGATAAGCATGCTAACGTTCTTTTTACAGATAAGAGGCTTTAACTTGGGGACGGTATTTTGTGTGCTAGCACTGTCTCCCTATGAACAAGAAACTTTCTCGCCCTCTCCCTTTGGAAACCTTTTTGAACAGAAAGGGCAATAATGGAAATTTATACCAAAATTTTTGTTCTATAGAGAGCGGGTCTCTATTTAAATGTGAGGAACCGCCTTTCTTGATTTTGTCTGTGTGCAAGAAGTTTTGATTTCCGTCATTTAGGAAGATATGTTAGGGCAATCGAGGTAATCGTCATATGATATACTACACGCCTGAACTGCAAATTCCTTGGTATGACGTGGTTTACCGAAAAAAGGGGGAAGAAAATATTTTTCGGGAATCTTCGGACTGACTTTTTGAAGTATATATTGGGTATAAATTCTAGAAATTTCATTATTCGTGCATTGTGCACTCTTTTTGCAGGCGGTGCAAGAATTATTGAAGAAAACACTATGAAAAAAATACATATAAGGGCGGCCCACGAGAAGCTTTGCCACCTAATTTAATAAGCGGGGAGGTAATGCAGCGTTGAATACAGTGTAGAAACTTTGATTCATTGCAATTATTTATTTCTTATTTCTGGCCTAATATTTTGTAGCGAAAAGTAAAAGAAAATTACCATTAATTGGTGGCCATCTAGAGATTGAAAGATTGGCCCTTCCGAAACTTGTAACAGCACGTAAAACTAGAAAAGATGGCGCGGACAGATGGCGCGGACAGAGAAGTCTGGGCCGTCTTTTCATGCCACCTTTTCTAGCTTTACGCGTTGTTACGTACGTTGAAATGAACCAACTAACCCAGGAATCAACCATCCTTGATATATTTGCGATAATGCCGTGAATTGCACTCCCGTGTTTGCTGCTGCTAAGAGAAATTCACCACCGGCCACTGCGGCCACGTTTTTGATGCATGCAGAAAATTCTTGAGGCCCATACACTTCAATTTTGGTGCGTCCTATAACCCTCGAGGTGGTCTAAATTAACCTGGCCCTTCTCTAATGCATACTTTAAGTAATATATGCTTTCCGAGACGTTAAACTCGAACACCTAATACTATCCGGGAACCTTGGTGGCTAGTTCTTAGCTGTCTCGGAATACGATAGTGATGTCTCGGAAAATGTGGCTTTAGCTGGCTTGTCTGATTGATGTCTTCAACTGATTGATGCACTAAGTTTGGTGTCTGGCATATGTACTGTTGTTTTCCCGCGTGTTTGGTCACCATGCTTTTTTTTTAGACGTTCATATCTTGAGCTACACGAGAAACATCCGGGTCTTGCAATAAATATGAGAAGCGCCTCGTGAACTACACAAAAGTTTTACCTGAAATTATGTACTACTATGCATGATGCAGCAAGCACACCTGGCGCCTCTTTCATGGAAGTGGACTGCGGGGTTCCTTTTGACAAAGTTGGTTCGCAGACAAGTTCCTCGAGTGGTAAGTAGGATGTCATGCTATTTATTTATTTATTTATTTATTTATTTAGAACTCCCAGGTCCAGAAAAATTAATGAGGGGAGCGATTACAAAAGTAATACAAAATTAAATTAAGAAACGAAGCACTTCAACATTTCAGTATAAAATACTTGTTGTTATAAAGTTTTAGCTAAAATAAGAGACAGATACGTCGACGGACAAGTGATAAATAATAATGGCATATGCAATAAGGTTCCAAATTATGTACGTAAGAAAAAAAAAGATTGTCCCACAATCACTTTTGCTGCACAAAGTAAAAAAAAAGAGAGTAGAATCTGTTTAGAAAATATTAGTTTACAAGTGACTGTCGTGAATTGATATGATGGCTTCGGGAAGGTGGTTTCATTCAGAGGATGATTGAATTATAAATGGCTGAAAGGAGGATTTTGTGTGACACGTTTGAAGACCAACTTTGTAACGATGGTCCATTCGAGGCAATAGGTAAAGCGGCTGAGAAATGGCTTTGTTTCGGCGATTTGGAGATGGGAGATTTTGTGGAAAAAAAAACCAGACACGCAATTTTACGATAAGATATAGACATGAGAGAAAGATTGTTTTTCATAGCGGACACGCCTCCAGTTCTGTTGTAATTACATAAGATGAAGTGAACTTAATTGTTTTGTACGAGGTCTGATGAAGATATTAGTTTGCTAGTAGTAGTGTCCCGAATAGCGCACTCGTATTATAATTTAAGTTGTACAAGCGCAAGTGATTTACCTTAAATTTTGTGCCACTATATATGGCGCATGAAGCATAAAAGGGCACCCACTAAAGCCATCAAATGTTATGAACCAACTTCTGTTACCCAAGACACTTCAAAGTCAAGTTCCTCGAACTGTAAGGCGACAAGTTTTCTAGATCAGATAAGCGGTATAAATGGGTTATGCTCGAATGCACGCAATAGGTGGCCCACCTTATAGACTAATGATGATGCAGCCATTGCCCCGCCGTGGTGGTCTAGTGGCTAAGGTACTCGGCTGCTGACCCGCAGGTCGCGGGTTCAAATCCCGGCTGCGGCGGCTGCATTTTCGATGGAGGCGGATGTTGTAGGCCCATGTGCTCAGATTTGGGTGCACGTTAAAGAACCCCAAGTGGTCTAAATTTCCGGAGCCCTCCACTACGGCGTCTCTCATAATCATATAGTGGTTTTGGGACGTTAAACCCCACATATCAATTAATCATGATGCAGCCATTGTAGACGGGATGGCTTTCTTCGCCTAGGATAACTTTCAGCGAGGCTTTTGAGGAGAAAAGCCGTTTCAGCTCACACAATGTTCGCCGATGCCAACGTTGTAGCTTGCCGCCGGACAAACACCAGTGTTACATATAGCATACATGGAGCGTTCTTAGCGCGCGCGTGTAGGTTTAAAATAGACTATATTCCATCCGTACATTTCTCTGTCTGCCCCTCCATTCATCCGTTCATACGTGCATATCCGTTGATCCATCCGTGTCTGCGTCTGTACATCCATTCTTCTGCCCGTCTAATCGTTCGTGCATATGTTCATCCATCCGTCCGTCCATTTATGAATCTGTTCGTCTATGCATGCGCCCTTTCATGCATTCATCTGTCTACTGACTATATGTCTACGCATCCATTCATCTGTCCGTCCGTCTGTCAGTTCGTCACCTTGTGAAATCCAAAGTGTGTGCGGCGAACGACCGTGCCCATTGAAACGTACCGGTCAGAATTCCAGTGCACTATAGTCAGAATCGATCGCGATGCTTTCTTGTTGAATGATTGTACACGCTGGGCACAGCAACACTGCGCAAGCAAAGCGCGAGCGCTGTAGACTCCGACAACGGTCGTGACCGGCATGCGTTGGCGCAGCCAGGTGGCTTCCTGGCACCATCGTAATATATTTATAAATATCGTGATATTTCATAAGCATTTCATGATCATCCAGGGATCTTTGCAGCATCCCCAAAGTTCACTTCGTATATATAGTGGCTGCCAATTTTTTAAATTCATGGAGAACGTACTTCAGTGCAGATAATCAGTTAGCTATATGCTTCATGCAGAAAACACAGCGTTGCCATAAATGACGCACACGTTTGCCACAATCGAGTTTTCGAATAGATGTTCAGTCATATTCGCTGTGATAGCAGCCGTTGTTGCATAGCAACAAACCCACTGCACTACTAGGCTCGGTCGAGGACGCGGGTTTGATTACCGGCCATTCATGATGCCAACCTTTAGGCAACGACGAAATCCAAGAACGCGTTTGTGTACATCAAATCTACGACAAATGATTCAAGTTGGTGTTGTTTGATATGTGGGTATGGGTGTATTTTTGCATATGTAGTCTCAGGTGTTCTATTATTCCCACACTGCTTCTTATTGTTTCCTTTGGTATGTGTGCCCCACGTTCACTCAAGGCCTAAAAGGTAGCCGGCGCTTTACTTGTGCGCTAACATCTTTTTATATATCACATCCGTAATGTTAAAAGTGGTCTAAGTTAACCTAAGATCCCCCACTATGACATTCCTCGTAATAATAGTGGCCTTCCGGTACGCTAATCTCACAGTTAATTTTTGTTTTCTTGTTGCCATCTCCTTTACACTGTCGGCAAGAAAGTATACCTGACGACTGTGCTTGGGTGACTGTGGGCGACGCCTCCGTGGCAGAGATACCCTGCAAGCACAGACCTCGCCACCAGCGAACGGGAACTCTCGTTAGCAAAGCGGCCAGTACATGATTGCCTTCGTCCAACTTAAAAAAAGAAGTATTTCGACATGTTCACTGACATGACTGGAATCAAACGATTTGCGCATGGTGTCAACACGTGTTGAAACACAACTGCGCCAGCAAAAAAAAATAGAAAATCTGCTTCAGAACTTGCTATACACGTATATTAGTTATGAGAAAGACGAGTATCGATATGTTGTTCGAAGCCTTGAAGGGAAACCGAAGAGAAACAATAACTTAGTTTAGATTAATAAACTGCAATCTGATAACTCTAATGCCTTAAGTTTCACTTTCATCAGTTCATTATTAGCGGAGAAAGTAAAAATTGAAGTTTTATTTTTTTTAATTTTGCACCGAAATCTTTGCACGGGACGTCACAAGTTTCAAAGTGTATTTTTCTCATTTTTGTGACATACGACTCAATGAAATATTCCGAAACTTTGTATGCTAGGCCAGTGGCACCTTTAGAAGACAGTTTACGTCATTTTTATCGACGCCTCCCCCCGCATTTTCTCTTCGTGCATTTTCTGTTGCGCTAAGAGTGACATTTTCAGGAATGTGAAATTGTACTTCACTAATACGCGAAAAATGCTTTTGCTGTTTAGTGTTTATTTAAGGCACGAAATCTCTCAGTAGATACATACTATGTGGGAAAAACCACCTTCTAAAAGATGTTTGCTGACATACTGTCCCAGCAGCATGACTCTCCCCCCCCCCCCCCCAATTTTCTGAATTTATACGTACATGATGGTACAGAAACTGGTGAGATGCAACTGTTTGTACAGAATTTCAGGTAAGAGCACTATTTGAAAGGCGGCGTTTCTCATATTTTCATATCTCCCACATAAATCCTTACTTCTAGTTTTGCAATGTTTCATTCTCGTATTTTTACTGCTCTGTACCCACTCGTGCGATATTCTTTTAACCAGGCTGCACTATGTGAAAATAAAATAAAATGAAATAAAATAAAGCAACACGTGTGAACCACAGCCACTGCAGGGGGGATGACTGGAGAGCTAACGTATGTGTTGGTCTGAGAACTCGGTGGTTCTTTCAAAAAGATAACGCGTTGGTTTATAATCATTAGTTGAATAGAATTTGTACATTGCTTTGATTATCTCTCCTTTGTTTTTATTACTCCTCTTTTACCATGACTAATATTGTTCCCCAATAATTGATGCAGACAGCAAGTCGGGGCTAAGCAGTCGCACTCGCAAGAGAACCCTTGTGGTTCCCGTTGCCGGCGAAGATTGGCGGCCTGGCCGTTCTAGAGGTACGAATGAGGAACGTAGTCTAGAACGATTTCAAAATTTTTGCAGGATGATAAGAGTTGTTGTATATTGTTTTGGAATTGACTATACAGAAAACACGCCGTGTCTAGACATCTGTTCCGCAAGAAAGCTTGCATCTGTGGTCATTGACTATGAATTTTCGCAGCCTCGTTCTACTAGAGGAACTGTCCCGTCATGGTGGTCTTGTAGCTAAGGTACTCTGCTGCTGACCCGCAGGTCGCGGTATAAAATCCTGGCTGCAGCGGCTCTATTTTTGTTGGAAGCGAAAAGTGCTGTAGACCTGTGTGCTCAGAGTTGGGTGCACGTTAAGGAACTCCAGGTGGTCGACATTTGCGGAGCCCTCTACTACGGCGTCTCTCATATACATATGGTTGTTTCGCGACGTTAAAATTATTATACCACTCAATAAATCTACCAGGGGAATCGGCGAAGCTGAAGTACGAGTCAGTATCGTACAATGACGTTGGTGCTGTAACTTTGGCTTTTGGTAGTACACCCAGGATTGACAGAGCATTGCTTACATTTCGAGTGTTCAGATCCTATTCGCCAGGTCTGCGCATAAGTGCGTGCCTGTTCATGGTGACAAGTGAACGGCGCGCACTATTCCGTCGCGAAGGCTTGCTGCTGTTCAAGATTCATTTCACGCTTATAGAACTTATATCTTAGCGAAAAATTTCGGAACTACAACGTTCAGAAAGCGTGTGTACACAAAATTACAAACCAACGTAAGCTAATGTGAACTTATATGCTCGCTGCAGACAGTGAAGCTCGGGTTGAGCCTGGTGACCGGCCTGCTGAAAATGCTGAAGACGAAGTTGGCGCAACAGCGCCACGGCAGAAGAGAGTCTCCAGGTTGCCAGTTCTGAAGCGGGAACCTGGGTTTCAAGAAGGTACAAAGAGAATGGCACATCGTTTTAGGATCATTGATATTATAATGAGAAACATTGACAGAAGGATCAGGTTGTGGTACTTACATAAGCCCGTGGTATAACTGATCGCTCAGCGGTTGCGCTTCGGGGACCCTAAAAGGGCCCTGCGACATTTTTTTTTTTCAGGGCGGTATGAAAAAAGCTGCTGATCGGTAGTATATGCTACTAATGCGACCCCAATATTGTATTGTTGCTCGTGGACTGGAAATAGTGAGAAAGGATATTAAAAATAAGGTAGAGAAGTTTCCTACCCTTCACGTCTGGAGAGGAGATAAGGGAGTAAAAGAGGAGGAGATGTACATTGCACAACGCGCACGCACACACACACATGGCACATGCAGTGCAAGATTTCAAAGGTGGTCGCTCAGTCACAATGCCCTGAAGAACCGTAAAAAAGCTCGTGTAGTTTTGTGGGCCGAGGTGCTTGAAGACCATGAAGATCTCCTGAGTAAAGCGACGATCATTCAGTCTCCTCAAGGCACACTGGAGAGTCCGGCAATCTCGTTCAAGATCGGGACAATGACACAGGACATGTAATTATAGTTCTCAAAGTAAGCTAAAAATAACGCCCCCTCCCCTCTTCTTTCTACAAACGATATCATGTACTCAGCCACTCTATCCACCCTACATGACCACTCCGTGCACCCACCCAAATTCACAGCCATTAGCTCATTTGAGCATCGTGGCTGCATGGTTACTGCCCCGGCCGCAGGGACCGCCACGTTTGCACTCGCGCTCCCGCGATTTTTCTGAAGGTTAGCCACGAGTTTGAAGAACATACAAGAGAAATCATGACACGCACGTAACGTACCTTGCTTCCCTACAGCACCTCCTTCTCCTTATCACCTCCTTCTCTTTCTCCTGGACAAGAAAAGAGAGAAAGCAATTACAGCGTACGAAAAATCTCTACGCACTTTACAGATTCCAAAAAAAAAATGACGGTCAATTTATCAAGCAATAAACTCCTTTAGGGAAGCTTCTTAGTTACTTGAAGAAATGTTGCAGAGCTCCTTTAACCGTCACTATTGCTACCGCATCCTGATATGTAACAAGTGACTCCAAAAAGTGAACGCCTACTGATCCAACATGACCATGTCTATATACCTCATGTCATGCCACTTACACTACACTGGGTTACTTGCCTGTACGCACTTCCGGTCTCTTCTTGAGATACTGCCTAGTTATGCAAAACTATCGGTAAATGAATCATTGATAGCATTGAATGTTTTGTTGAAACTATCGATAGTACAAGTTATCGGTAGTACTGTACTGCACGCTATCGATAGTATAAGCGCTCTTGCAGTCGATCGCTGCATCGGTTGCATTACTGCAGGTAAACATTTCCCACTCATCGCCTTTTGGAAATCTATTTCATGCGAAGCAGTTAGGGAGTAATTGTCCATTTCTTGGCTTTGCGTTTAGCGTTAGTAGGTGGGTCGACGTGTTTCTACAAGTAGGGTAGGTCTCTGCGCATCGTGACATTACTATAGGAACGTCAACTACGCTGGCCTCTAAAGGGGAACGTGTGCTTGGACGTACTTTGAAAACTCATGAAGTGCGGACGTCTGTATTATCGAAACGTAATTCACTTTACGATGAGGTGATGTAAATTTCATACGTGACTTTTATTAGTGTATTCCTTCTCGGCCAAGCTACATTTGTATACAGTTTGCGGGGAAGGAATACAACTGCATGGTTTATTAAAAAACGGAATCAACACTACAATTGAAATAGATGTTGACGCGGAGTGACGCCTGTATCATAGGGGTACATAGGTAATCTTCGTTCTTGAACTGTAAAATTAGATAGCAAGCACTGCAACCCCAATGACGTCACCCCTGCAGTACGACTGGACACGTTCTTTTTCCTAAGTAGTTTAAGGACCTGGCGTTGCTCTGTGGTAGAATATCTTCCTGCCCCGCCCAACGCTTGGGTTCGTTTGGTGATGGGATATTAATCATTATTCTGTACATTAGTCGGCTCAATGCTGCCCATGTCGCGTTTTATTCTTTGCGTACTGCAATGTCTTTTGGCGTCTATCTATCTATCTATCTGTCTATCTATCTGTCTATCTATCTATCTGTCTATCTATCTATCTGTCTATCTATCTATCTGTCTATCTATCTATCTGTCTATCTATCTGTCTATCTTCTGATCTGTCTTCTATCTGTTATCTCTGTCTGTCTGTCTGTCTGTCTGTCTGTCTGTCTGTCTGTCTGTCTGTCTGTCTGTCTGTCTGTCTGTCTGTCTGTCTGTCTGTCTGTCTGTCTGTCTGTCTGTCTGTCTGTCTGTCTGTCTGTCTGTCTGTCTGTCTGTCTGTCTGTCTGTCTGTCTGTCTGTCTGTCTGTCTGTCTGTCTGTCGATCTGTCGATCTGTCTGTCTTTCTGTCGATCTGTCGATCTGTCTGTCTTTCTGTCGATCTGTCGATCTGTCTGTCTTTCTGTCGATCTGTCTTTCTGTCTTTCTGTCGATCTGTCGATCTGTCTTTCTGTCGATCTGTCGATCTGTCGATCTGTCTGTTGATCTGTCGATCTGTCGATCTGTCGATCTGTCGATCTGTCTGTCTGTCTGTCTGTCTGTCGATCTGTCTGTCGATCTGTCTGTCGATCTGTCGATCTGTCTGTCGATCTGTCGATCTGTCTAGTCTGTCTGTCTGTCTGTCGATTTGTCGATCTGTCTGTCTGTCTGTCTGTCGATCTGTCTAGTCTGTCTGTCGATCTGTCTGTCTGTCTGTCTAGTCTGTCTGTCTGTCTGTCTAGTCTGTCTGTCTGTCTAGTCTGTCTGTCTGTCTAGTCTGTCTGTCTGTCTAGTCTGTCTAATCTGTCTAATCTGTCTAATCAGTCTGTCGGGCTGTCTAATCTGTCTAATCAGTCTGTTTATTATAGTGCCTAGAGTATACGACATACTGTCTATCTAGCCGTTTACGTCTGGGTGCTCTCGTTATCACCCCCTAACATGGCGTCAACCAAAACAAGTAAGAAGGTTTGGGGAATATGACGCGCTAGTGAAGCCTTCAACAATGTCACAATCCGGTCGCGTACGTGGTCAAACATTTCAAGTTAAACAGTCACACATACCCGCCCGCGGATATGTGCCCCTGGTATTCAGGTATGTGCCACAGGGGATAGACATTTCAAGTCTACCCAGGAACGTCGAGAACACACGTAGTGTCATTTCAACGCGTAAGCGTTAATATAAAGCTGACATCAGCAGCGTTGACCCAATGAACGCAAACAGTTAATATCCTAGTCTCAGCAGGAATGGAACCACATCATTCTGCCGGGTAACCAAGTATTCTACTACAGAGTCACGCCAGGTCGCGGGACTAATTTTCAAATAGAACATTATGTTTCTGAAATGTTCACTGTGGCTGTAGTGTTGGATATTCAGTTAACTCGTACCATACAGCCGTCCCGTCGCTCTAGCGTCCATTGTAGTTAGGTGATATTCGCTCAAGTTGATTTATGTAGCAGTTCCCAGTACTACCATCCTCACGAGCACCAGCGCTTCATATCAGCTTATCGCTTCCGATGTTGCTAATGCTCATGTTCCTGTTGGCATCGTTGCGTAAGGGCAAGCAACTAGTTATAAACATCTGCAATTCCTCAACATATGTCTGTGCATGAAACATTTATGCATATATTTAGCGTCATTTATTGACGTGCCACTCGATAAAAAAATTACATGGTCACCTTCCCTCCACACGCTTCCCAAAACGGTGATTCCCAAGGTACGTGGGATCTAACGAACTTTTATTTGAGCTCTCACATTAAAATTAGCGATGTCTGTTCTCGTCGTTTCTGGCTAGATATAAACCCCGTCACCTGTGGTGCCTATCGGGGCCCTTGGTATACTGGTATGTATCACACACGTCTGCAGAAAAGGGTTTGGGGACGGGCGCAACAGGATTGTGGCGTTATCATTTTTATGACCACACATTCATATTCGTCAGACCTTCTTTCCCTCTCTTACCAATTTCGCTCTACACCACGAGAATACCCCGACCTATGCGGCTAGCTAGCTAGCTAGCGAGACAGACAGACGAACGAACGAACGGACGGACACACAGACGGACAGACTGACGGACGGATGGACGGACACACATACAGACGGACGCACACACATACAGACGGACGCACACACATACAGACGGACGCACACACATACAGACGGACGCACACACATACAGACGGACGCACACACGTACAGACGGACGCACACACGTACAGACGGACGCACACACGTACAGACGGACGCACACACGTACAGACGGACGCACACACACGGATGGGCACACACACACGGACGGGCACACACACACGGACGGACACACACACACACAGAGAGACGGGCACACACGCACACAGAGAGACGGGCACACACGCACACACAGAGAGACGGACACACACGCACACACAGAGAGACGGACACACACGCACACACACAGAGACGGACACACACGCACACACACAGAGACGGACACACACGCACACACACAGAGACGGACACACACGCACACACACAGAGACGGACGGGCGGACAGACACAGACAGACAGACGGACAGACACAGACAGACAGACGGACAGACACAGACAGACAGACGGACAGACACAGACAGACAGACGGACAGACACAGACAGACAGACAGACAGACAGACAGACACAGAGAGAGAAATAGATACGCTCAGTGCACGTGGCACTTAGTGAACTGACTACTTACAACGCCGACTAAATTTCAAGGCCGAAAGGCTGCCGCAGTGACGTCAGAGGTTGGGGGCCCAGTTGCCCAACTGAGCATGCTCAGTAAGACTTTTTTTCCACATCTTTTATTCGGTCCAATCTAGCCGCAGCAGCTGCGAGAGCGGGAGCGTTGGTTCTCCTAAAACGTGAACGAAACACAGGCTTTCCGCCGCGTTCGCGGCGTAACTGGGCCCCCACCCTCTGACGTCACTGCGGCAGCCGTTGGGCCTTGAAATTTAGACGGCGTTGCTACTTACCGTAATGCTCATTTCATTTACGTGGAATGTTTTGGCAAAATAAGTTGATTGTTTCCACAGCAAAAATGCCCAATAACTTCAATCCGAAAATTTCGTAATGCAATCTGTTGCATCTAGCAACTGATAAGCTTTGTTCTTGATATTTCTTATTTGGTATGTGAAACTTCACTAATTCGTACTCAAAATTTTTAATTTGAAAATGGATAATGTAATATGAATTTTAGGCCCCGCAGTTCCGCCAAATGCAACTGCTCCTTTTTCTGCAACAGACGAACAGTTCAGCTTAATTTTCAAGTGTCGACCAAGCACTCTGGTGAAAGAACACGAGCATGCCGACTTTCGCGTCATTCAGCCTGCTCCTACTGCTGCAGCATTTTCCACACATTCGAGGAACGAAGTTTATGTCAAGTTCGAGTGGTTTATTTTATGCTCTCGCTACTGTGTTTTAGTATTGATAGCGCTGTCGGTAGTTATTTGTGCCATCAATAGTTCCATAGTGACTGAATTATCGGTTTTGTCGATAGTGCTGATTGTTCTGGATCACTAGTACTCGTCCTAAAATTTTCAGTTTATTAGTTTGCCCTAAATAGATGCCAAGCACAAGCGAGCCAATAGAAAGTGCACCAGAAGACATCAGTGTACAACGAAAGAAGCTATTACACAATGTCTTTAAGATCTATTTTTAGTTTCTAGTGCACCCTGCCGTCACAACAAGATATTGTAGCTTCTCTTCCCGAGCTCTTGTGATAGGTCGCGCAGTTTCTTCAGAATGTATTCTTTGACTACAGGTGTGCCAAGCAAGGACTTGAAGAGCAATGTCATGAAAGGGCCTGCTGAAATGGATTCACAGGTAAAACGTTTGCATATATCACATATATCAGGACACGTTTGCATATTAAGTTGTATAAAAATGGAGAAACAAAATTGTCACTAACTCTTTGTTTAATGGCCATGGAGGATGTTAAGCGTTTTGATAGTGTGGTGCACTGCTTCTAGGGTACGTAGGTATAGTTCCCTACGGCAAAGAAAATTTGAGTGTGGAGAGTATGCAAAAAAGTGGGTGTACTAAATAACATATATTAGCACAAACAAGAAAAAAATGCGTAAGAAGCAATAGAAATGAAGCTAATGCTCATGACTTTTTAACTTTCTTCTTCGCACTAATCTGTATCTCTTAATTAAATCTAAAAATTTTACATCCTGCTTTTTGCAGTTACATTGCGTAGTTAACGGTCAAGATATCACGGCTGATAGCCTCGCGTGCTGCAGCACGCGCTGGGCAATTATTTGGAGATGGCTTTAAAGCGCCTAACAGCAGTTTCAGTTTCAGTGAGCCCCGGGACAGGCTCATCCCAAGGTATTAATTGCAAAGTATTGCTTTGCATATTGCGGACAGCTTGAGCATTATATATATATATATATATATATATATATATATATATATATATATATATATATATATATATATATATATATATATAGTATCACTTTCTTAATTACCTTGGGAGAGCATAGTTAGTATGTAAGGGTAGGAGGGTTGGATGATTATAAATGTCTGGTGATGACTGATGAGAAGAATAGGAAAATCTCGTCACGTACGGCGTAATTTTTTCCCCAGTCACACGTAGCATATGCACGAATATTAAGGCCGTGATATGCGGGTATGAGGCACACGTGTTTGACAGTTTAAATGTACCGAGAGGCGGCGAGAAGAGACATTGATAGTTGGAATGCGAGAGTGCTAGAAAAATCTACATCGGCAGCGTTGACCCGATGACTGCAAATAAAAGACGCTACAACCCCAGAAGGAATCGAACTCAAACTTTGAGTGGGAATGAAGTCTTCTAAAGCGGAGCCACGCCACGTTTCAGAACTCCTTTGGAAAGAGACCCTATACGTTGGTGAAATGGCAGTTGTGGTTGCAATGCTGCCCATTTAATTTTATGAACGCTACATACACAGTACAATGGCACAGGCGTCACGTCGGGGTAGCTTAAATTATAATTAGGCACCATCCATTAAAGTTAGTGCACTACTGAAGGCTGCCATATTCGCAATTAGAAGTGCTAGATTACAGCTTACCGCTTATGACGTTGGTATTACCCATGTTGCCCTTAACTGTAAAATATCAGTTATATGAAACATATGTGGCTGTTCAATATACATGTCTATGCGAATAACATTTGTACGTATGTTGAGCGTTATTTCGTAATATTTCGCCTAACAAAAAACACCACAGTCACCTTTCCTTGGCATGCTTCGCATTACATCGGTTCCCATAGTGCGGGGGACTTGCTGAATTTTTTTTTGGTAGACCCGAACGTATGAGCACACTAAACAGAGAGGACTTCGCTGAGAAGTATTTTTAAGGGAGGCTCACTATAATATCCATTGTGTGGCTGTAAATGTGTGTGGCCACCCAAAATGCACCGCCGAGGCAATGACTCCAACCTTTGCAATTCCGTGCAAGTCGACACAGCAGGCACGCACTGGGAATCAACGCAGAAACAACATACCAACACTTGCTAACGCTTAGTAAGCAACGTAGTACCTTCATCACCCACTTAATGCCTAAAATTTTGTTAGAAGTATCGAGATTAGTCTTCAAAAGCATCCAGTTTCATTGCTTGAAGCCTTGCGTGGCGTATTGCAAACTTCAGCAATTTATTGTTTAGGGGGTGCCTAATTTGATCAGTGCTTTCTAGACATTGGCTGGAATATCTTCGAGAACGGATCGTCAAAACAACTCATTATATACAAGTAATATTCATTTTGTTTCAGGCAACTAGAAGACGATCCTTCAAGAAGCCTGGTGGAAAAAAGAAAGGCATCTCAACCGAAAGACGCACGGTGTATAAGAAACTCGAGGTTTGTGTGGGACACTGAACAAGGGAGAAAAAAAGCTAAAGGCACTGCTTAGAGAACGCTTATTTTGAAGCAAGCGTATGCGTTTAACCAAACAATAGCTGCAAATCCTAAATATGGAGTACAGAAACGATTGGCTGACTTCTCGCCATGCGATCAGATAAATCAAAAGCCGCAAAAAAAAAGCAAGACCTAAGAAATCTTACCACTCATGTACGACTAATGTATCACTGTTTACATTTTCTCATTGTATTTTCCGATTGTCCCAATTTTATCATGCAAGTATGCGCTTCCTTCTTAACACTGTCAAAAGATCGCAAAGTGCTATTGGCGAGCATGGCTGCTTATCACGACTCTGCTGCAACAAAGGTACGAGTGCAAGATTTGTCACTTGCTACGCGCAGATAACAGAGAAATAACTGTAAAGGTAGAGGGTTAGCTGCAGGTATAGCGTGCCTTCGATAACCCCACCTCCGAGTGTAGCGGAGCCCCTGCTGCACCCAACGAAAATTCTTAAAGGCGGAACTTGCCCTCATGTTGTAAGCACTTGACAGCGACATTGAAGAAGAAATTGTATGGGAAGGCTGCTAGTTTCCGGCTTTTCTTTGATGCTACATCTGAACGTATCAAGTTACCGCGATCACATCAAACCTCTTCAAGCAGAAGGGAACTACGCGCGATGGTTATTCGCTTCTCTTAGTACCGTTTATAGAGCCCGTACTATGACAGCTAATGTTCGAGGCCAATTGTGTGACTTGTTTGGGTTCGAATACGAGCGCTTGGCACTATGCTCGTTAATTAGCGAGTGTTCAGTGAACTATATAAGCCGGATGAATCTGCGGACCTTATTTAGTATAGCTGTCTATTACACCACAATTCAATTGGGATTCATGTGAAACTGGGAACTTTTGTATTTGGTGTGGTTTTTCCCGTTACCATTCCAGTTTGACTATGGTCTTCCCTGTGTAGGATATAGACAATTGTGAGCTCCTCTGTCTGTCAGCTGTCCTGAGTCCAGACAATGCCGGTACGCCCAAATTGGAGAAGTTGTGCCATTTCTAACTTTTTCGTACATGTTTTCATGCATTCCAGGAGCTTTGGCTTGAGATCGCTGAAACCAGGTCCCTGTCGGAAATGGAGGAATTGAAACAGACCCTCGAAGATACTTATAACCAGCGCCGTCTAATAGCGGCCTCACCTCTGCCCGAATTTTTCTTGCAAGAAGAGATTGTAAGTATCAATGCATATTACTGCCACCATTATTGTACTGATGGCGTTATAAGACAGGGTTACACAGATTACGCCGGTAAATACGGTTAATGTGTTCTACCAATAGACGGTAACATTCACTGCCTCATATGAACTTTTACTTCCAACATGACATGATTTTTGCAGTGCAATAATAAGAAAATTAATACTTTGTATGCTCGTTTCACATGTAGCTCTGCATGGAAGCTAAAATTCGATTTGGCTCCGACATCAAAGAACTGGAAGAGAAGCTCCGCAATGCGCTAAAGATCTTCTCGGAAGCACACAATGAAGAATTTCCATTAGAAGGACTGACATTGAGAGACCTCTGCCTATACTTGGAAGACGGCACAAGTCCTTCATTGGTTACTGAGGTATGTCAAGTTTTCCGTGTTTTTAACCATTCTGTAGTATCCGAGAACTACTAGCAGTATGATTAGGCGCACTTAAAATACACTTTAGTAATATAGTTATTACAAGTTTAGAATGAAAATTTGAAAACAAGTGTAACGCTTTCCCATATTAGGGACTAATCGCGGCAGCTCAGGAGAAATTGAAGAGCGCCTCCAGCAGGCCGCCTCTGTTGTTAGCGCCGATGCGAGCCAGTGCGGATAGGAGTGCGCTCCAGCCAAATCTGAACTACTACACGTCAGCTAAGACAGCTCAAAACGAGCCTTAACTAGACGTACAATTGAGGAGCATTGACTCGAGAGGTTTTCAAAATACTAATCCATGGTGGTCTAATCCCCAACAGAATAAAAAAAAATTGAGCTACGCTATACAAGCTACGAAATTTTGAAGGGAACATTGTGCCCAAAATCCTCCCATTCTCGAAACCAACGCAGGGGGGCAGGAGAAGTATAGAGACGTGCAACGGCTCAACCACAACTTGGTAAATATCAGGTTTCTCAAGTAAACACCGTACTTAATAATGAATAAGGATGAATACAGTGGAGTTGAATAATTTTAATAATTATCTGACTATGCATTACTGTCATCTTATGTCAGCGTATCATGTAACCCGTATCTTGTATCGTGTAACCCGTATCATATAGCCCGTATCTTTTATCAAAACAGTCAATTTCTTACCAGTATTGCTTTCTTACGTTGTTTTCTGAATATTCGTACAACAATCAGTGCTCCAGCGAAAGTGTTCAGAAAAGAAACAAAAGTGTGACTCTGCCTGCTTTCTAAAAGAAAAAAAACTTCGAAGATTATGATAGTGCTAGCGCGAATTCTCAGAACGGCTTCGAGTGTTGGTGCAAGGCTTTGGCTTTCTGCAAGGTATAGATAACTCCATAAATCGTAATTTTTAGTGCCAGCGTGGCTCTGTGGTACAATTCTTCATTGCCATGGAGAGGTCTCGGATTCAAACTCAGCGGTGAAAATACGGCAGGAGTACAAGGAGGGACATACGTCTTGCGATGGCGGCCATCTTCTTTTTTAGAAATGTACGAGGTTTTCTTTTAATTGTATTTAAAATAAAATCATGCTTTGCAATAAAAAAATTTGGTCCCGAGCCAGTAGGCGGCCAATATAGAGTAGGTTTCTAGCTAATAAGCCATTTGGATTAAACCATCAAGTGAAAATACTTTGTTTTAACACGTAAAGGCACAGCTTTTAGGGTCGAAGCTCCTTACGCCGTGGGTCGGATGTCTCGTGTCGTCGTAGTCGTCGTGGTAGCCAGTTGCATTGCATTCAGTAAAAACTGTTGTCCCAGCATGTCCACGGAGTGAATGATGATGAGTGGGGCGAAGCGTCCGTCAGTCCATCCGTGCGTCCCACTTGTATTCATTCACCTTGTAGATGCGCTGTGATTTTTTTAAATTTAGTTTAATGACCAATCCTGTATACCTGTTAGTCACAGCATTCAAATATTTATTCCTGAAAATATTCTCGTAAAGCATGTTTATGTTCACTGGTGAATGTTTTTTTTCATTATCACAATGTGGCTATATGAAATATTGGAATTGATATTGCACTGTCAATAGCTTACAACAAATCATCGACATTATTCTTAGGTGATCGCAATTCTTCATTTAGTTTGCGTTTTAATCGCAACATAATGAAAATTTGTGATACGTCCGAAGTGACCTGTAACATTCTAGGTAGCAAACTAAGAGCAGGTTTCGTTTTCGTGCTTAGTTTCTGCTCTTTAAAAAGGCTTCATATTTCAGAGTTGGTTTTTCAGCAAAGCGCGACGCTTAGCTGTCAAGCTGCTCAGTTATGATGTTCCAAAGTTAAATTTCAAGGGGTAACCAGCAAGAGGTGTACTCCCCCCCCCCCTAACTCTTTCACAAACCACAAGAAAATCTATCTGTAAATGTGTCAAATCACTACAACATTACTTCAAGGCAGTCATTATTTTATTGCAACAATAATAATGAGATAATTGTAGCATTTACGTGCGTTAGTCATCCTAATTAGGCTGTCATTAAATATATCTACTCTGAAGTCATTGGTGTTCTTTCTGTATCAACGGAATGAAATCTAAGGCTAGGAATATAGTGCAAAATTAATTTTGGGTTGTGTTCATTTTTAGCAAGGAAAACTTCTGCGTTTCACATTGGTTGCAGGAAGCGGCACATCACACGACTCGTCAAACGGGGCAATGCCTTCACAAAAGAAATCATACGTATCATTACACTGCAAAATGAAGTTAAATATGGACAAATTTATTATGCAGGGGTTCTCATTCATCCAAAGTGCAATATTTCTTGCTCCTTGTTAGCATGTACTAGCTGCAAATAGCAAAAACGAGTGATGTACACAATCGTGTGCATAGCGCTCTAAGGGTTGATCTAAGCACCAAGAGGGTGACGACCCAGTCAACACACTGTAATATCATTTTGCGCAGTCGACAATGCACTGAATCAGATGAAATCAGCTGGCCTCACACTACAACACTAATAATAATTTGGCATATACCATGCACCTTGGGAATCGACGTTATTCGAAGCATGCAGAGGGAAGGTGACTGCGTTGTAATTTTCTCATTAAGTGACAGGACATAAAACGGTGCTAAATATGTGCATAAATGTTGAACGGACAGACATATGTTGAATAATTGCAGATGTTATGTAAACAGTTGTTTGCACTTGCGCCACGGTGGCGACATGAATATGAGTATTAGCAACACCAGAAGCGATAGGCTGATATGGAGCGCTGGTTGTCTTGAGGGTGGTAGCACTGGACACTGCTACATAAATCAACTCTAGCGCGTGGCGCCCAACTCAATTGACGTTAAGCCAGCGTTACGGCTGTATCAAACTGGTACACATGTAAGCTTTATAAAATCAGATAGCTAGCCCTGCAACCACAACTGACGTTTCACGAGCATTAGGGTCTACTTGAAAAAACAGTTCGAGGCCTGGCATGGGTCTTTGGTAGAGTTCTTTATTGTCACGCCGAATGCTGTGGTTCAACTCCTTCTGGAACCTTGATATTTATTCTTTACATTCATGGGATCAACGATGCCAATGCCAGGTTTTTCTTAGCGCCCATGCGTTGAAATTCCACATGCATGTTCTAGTTATTCGTGGCTAAATTTCTATCACATGTGGCACACATTCGTTTATCAATGGCACATACCCTCTCGCAGGTATGTACCACTGTGTAGCAGGTAGTGTTTGACTACGTACGCGACGGGATTGTGACATTAATCATGTGTTGACGAGCGCGTCAAATTCGTCATATTATCTGAATGGGTGGGTGGGTGGGTGGGTGGGTGGACGGACAGATAGACGGACTTGGCTAAAGAAGTTGATTATTTCCACAACAAAAATGCCCAATAATCTCAATCCGAAAATTTCATAATGCAATCTCTTGCACCTAACAATTGATACTTTGTTCTTGATATTTCTAATTTGTTATGTGAAACCTACCTCAATAATTAGTACTCAAAATTTTACTCTGAAAAAAGAATAATGTAATGAGAATTTTAATAACACAGATTGTTAGGCTAGTTGGTGATTGGGAATCAACATATTTGCACAGCACAAGACTACGAGTAGTTATGACGTAACTACAGAAGAAGAGACAAGGACAGAAAGAGCACTGTGCTCTCTTGTCTTGTATCTTCTTCTGTAGTTACGTCGTAACTACCCGTAGTCTTGCTCTTTCTGTCCTTGTCTCTTCTTCTATAGTTACGTCGTAACTAGTCATAGTCTTGCGCTGTGCCAATATGTTGATGAATTTTAAGCCCCGCAGTTCCGCCAAATGTAACAGCTCCTTTTCTGCAACAGACGAACAGTCCAGCTTAATTTTCAAGTGTCGACCAAGCATTCTGGTGAAAGAACATGAGAATGCCGACTTTCACGTCATTCATCCTGGTCCTCCTGCTGCAGCACACATTCGAGGAACGAAGTTTATGTCAAGTTCGAGTGGTTAATTATATGCGCTCGCTACTATACTTTAGTATTGACAGTGCTATTGATAGTTATTTGTGCCATCAATAGTTCTATAGTCACTTAACTATAGGTGTTGTCGATAGTGCTGATAGTTCTGGATCACTATAACTCGTCCAAAAAATCTACGTTTATTTTTTTGTCCCTAATAAATGCTAAGCACAAGCGGGCCAATAGAAAGTGCAATGGAAGGCATAAGTGCACAAATAAAAAAGCTATTACGCAATGTCTTTTAGATTCATTTTTTAGCTTTTAAGATCCATTTTTAGAGCATTTTTTAGCTGACGGACGAACACGTCAGCCAAAACCAAGGTCTGATTATGAGAGACGCTATAGTACACTGACATTACTATAGTACACGCCATAGTACACGCTATAGTACACTGACCTGCATCCATCGAAATGCGACCGCCACGGCCGTGATCGCAGCCGTGAGCTTCAGGTCAGCAGACGAGTACCCTAACTATTGATCCACCGAAATAAACAACTACAGAGAACAGTAATGTGAAACAAAGCAAGACAGGCATGCGACGGAGTGGCAAAATATTGAACGAAGTTATGCTTCTCTGACGTACCTGCTTTAATGGCCTATGTCGAGAGCTCATTCCCCTATAACGTCGACTGAACAAAATGCTGGTGCAGTGGTCGTAGCTGGGGTGACCAGATGTGCCAAAAAGCTGAGAAACGCAAGGAGAAAACACGCACGTTATTTGTTAGGAGCAATTATATATGGAACTAACAGAGTTCTAAGGCAGAAAAGCGAACCCTTAAATTCACACTATTGACAGGCCTCTCTTTCACGGACACTCTTTCTATTTCCAGATGTAGCTCAGGAACCGTATTTCTTATTCTTTTAATTCTAAATACAATGCACACACGGTTTCGACGAATTTAGGCTGGGGAACTTGCTGCTTGTTTTTTGAGATGTCTTTTCTTCCATAAACAAAAACATCTAGTATCACACGCTGTAGCTGTATTTTTTAGTAAACATTTTTAGGCGTGTTCCTAAAAATGCTTCTCAGAAACCAATGGCCTTCCGAATGAATTTATCCGCAGAAGCCTTCTGTACGTGATAAAAAAGCAAGGTAGGCCAAGCGGGCATTCACTTAATGAGACTCGTTCGCATGAAAATAAGACTAAATTACTTAAATTTTTGATTCCCAGTTAGAAATATTATTTGTTTATTCCCATAAGACATCTTGTTTAGAAAGTATGTGACGACCAGCAAAGTTGGGCTCTTGTTACGGTTGTCGACTGCTGAGCCTAAGTTCGCAGAATCAAATCTCGGCCGTGGTGGCTACATTTGGGTGGACGCCAGGAGCATATCAACGAATTTATTAGAGGGGAAGGAGGCAGGGCTCATTTATACTTTATGTAAACTCGTGCGTGCGTTTGTAAGTGTGCGTGATAACATACGCAAGCCAAATTCGAAAATTTAAGGGCAAAAATTTTGAACCCCCCCTCTCCTTAGGCAACACTCCTGGTAGAGGCGAAATCTGGAGGTCTGTGTGCTTACATTGATGTGCACGTTCCCCTGGTAGGCGAAATCTCCGGCACCTTCCACTGCAGTTTCGCCGATAATCATAGCGTTGTTAGTGCCCGTAGTACGCACGCAATTATTCTAAAATAATAGAACCCCGTCATTTCCTGGTGTTGCAGTTTTCTCTGGTTCCATTTTGACTGTCCAGAATGTGGCAATTAGTAACTGCTGTTTCACGCGCGTATTTGCAGAGATGTGTACCCAAGCATATCACGGATGATTCGCCACGCATCTACACGATGGGCCGCCACCTGTGGATTAACGCTGGTACCGCGGCGGAGACCATCAAAATCGCCAGTGGAAGTCTGGAGCGTGCCCTAGTACTGTGCCTGGTACTCTACTACGTCAAGTACCTAGATTACCCGGAGGCGTTCTGGCGAGTCTTGTATGTGCTGCAGTTGGTCCTTAATCCGAGCGATGATCCACCCACCCCTCCGACAGGACGTAACGGGCAGACGTGTGAAGTGACGGAGAAAATGCGCTGCCTCGTAGACTTACTCACCAGTGAGGAAGATACAAGCGAATCAAAAGGAGTGACGTTGGCAATTTGTCCTCGAACAGACGTGCTTTGACCACCGATGCATATGCTTTGAAAGCATCAAGGCTTATATTTACCAATCCGTATACCTTTAGTGGTCTGCTTATTCAAAGTGACCTGACTTGAATTGCCGGATGAAAGATACAAACGAATCAGAAAAGGAGACAATCAAATCAGAAAAGGAGTGACGTTTGAAAGTTCTTCTCGAACAGAGGTGCTATGCTTACCGATGCATCCTTGGGAAAGTACCAAAGCGGAGCTTTACTACTCAATGCCCTTATGAGAATGCCTATCAAAGCATTCTCATAAGCATTCTCATAAGGGCCCTTACACCATTAATCCCGTCATCCAGAGAATGTGCTCCACACAATAATGCTGCTACTTTCATTTTAACGCATCACTTTTTGTGTGTGTGTGACAAACCGAGCAATATATCCCGGAAGAGTAACAGTGCAATTGGCTTTTCGCTGCTGAAACCATGCCACTCAAAGACGTTATAAACCGAATGCATGCGAAGGTTTTTTAAGTTTTTTTTTTTGGAACAATCCTCAAGTAGAAAATGTTAATTTTTCATGTTCAGTGCTGTCTTTATCTTTTTAATTGACAAAATGCAGATTCATCACAATCATGCTGTTAATTTTAAAGCAGCGTGAGCATTCGCATTATTGCGACGAATATTTTATTTTCGTTGGCTTTTTGTGCACTGTTGGCATTGCATATATTTGCTTGTCTTTCGATTTTATGCCGGCTTTGAATGTCACTGTTACGTTAATGTGCACTGCTTGTGGTCTTATATAGTTCAATGGCCCAACTTTGCGTGAGCGTGCTAAACGTCACGCTGTTCAACACATTAAAGTATCTGTATAGGTCTGGCCATAGGAGTTTTCTACACCAAGTTATACGGGCTGTACTCTCGCCAAATATTCTTCTGAAGATGTAAATTTGAAAAACCCTCCTAGGTGAAAAAAAATGGGAACAAGATCTAGCATGCTGTTTCAAATGACTTTATTTCAAAATAGGGCTCATTTTTTATATACATACAGACATAGCCACATTTACAGTTGCTCAAGACAATAGCGAACAATCCCACGCTTATGACATCGTAAAAAATATAAAATATTGCGCTTATCATTCACATAGGGTTACATATTTGTTATTGATGCACAGATCTCGGTTCGCATTCATGAAATACGTCTCTAAACGTTGCCATGCCACAGTGTTCTTGGTTCGTCCAAACATGCGAATATTTGTAGGGTCCGGCCAACACAATCAGTATTCTTAGTGACGTCATGGAAATTGTGGTTTCAAGATTTTTGTAAGCATAGTTTGTGAATAAATTGATTATTATGTAGGGTTTGACGTCCCTAAACGATGATATGACTTTGGGAGACGCCATTGTGGGGGGCTCCGGAAGTATCGACCACCTGGGGTTCTTTAACGTGCACCTAAATCTGAGCACACGGGCCTACAGCATTTTCGCCTCCAACTAAAATGCAGCCGCCGAAGCCTGGATTCTGTCCCGCGACATGCGGGTCCGCAGCAGAGTACCTTAGCCATTAGACCACCGCGGTGGGCTAGTCTGTGAATCAGAGATGCGTTGAGCTGAAAGAGCCGCACGTGGTGCGGTAGTGTGTTCGTTTGTTTCACCTCCTTTTAATGCAATTTTGATGAAGTGTGACTTTACGTTAATGTCATGCTTTTCGCACGACTTGCATTTGTTGTAAAAGAAATGAATAAAATTTTCTCTTGATTTCGCCCAGAATCGCTCGTATTGTTCCACTGTTGTGCCAGCATTGTGAAAATCTTGCGGCCACGTGGTAAACGATAGTGTACCAGGTCACCAGATTGTCTACTGCTGTTTATTCTACCTATTTGATAGCAACGGCCTCTGAAAGAATAACCAGGACGATTAAGAGTGGTAATGCTTTTTCGGCTTAAGTTAACGACCACACGTATATGTTGGAATTTCGTGCCAGCAAAGATATCACACAGTCTCAATAAAATTGCGAAACATTATGGTGTACGTATTGCGTTTTCAGCACGCTCAAAAATGGCTCGCTTACGTGCGCGCGTACTGAACAAAAGTGACGATTCACGTAGCAAGAGACCTTTTTGTTTGCCGCGTTGACCGCAGGACTAAGTATATGTCCCTGACGCTTGCGCAGTAGCGTACGAATTCCCTTTCATCATGTGGTCACGTGTATGCTATATCGGTCAAACGGGCCGTTGAAGCCGTTTAAAAGAGCGATCAAGTTCTATTCATATTATGCTTATTCCTACGTAGCAAAGCATTGCATGGACTGTGCAAAGGAAACAGAGGTGTGTTACCCACTTCTGAAGAGAGCCAGAGTTTTGTACCATCATAAACAGTTCAATACACGGGAGCTTTACGAGGCCTGTACGATATAAATAAAGAAGTCTGTGTGTCCGCAATCCGTCGGTGCTGCTTGCTGCCTGTGAAGTGCAGTACCTAGAAGCTAGATTATGACGCAGTGTCACAAGCGCTCACGTGTAGCCATCATGGGCGCTTTTACCGAACCACCAGTTGGATCGGTATAGTTTTGGTAGTCATTCCTAATTATTCTAGTTTGAAGTAGAGATTACACATCTCAAAACCAAATAAAGCACTTTACCGTAAGTGTCTACACGCATCTAAACTTCAAGGAAAGATATTAGACTAAAGCACTGCCCACAATAATACGGCAATGACATCATATGAACACTGGGAAAAAATACTATGCACACAAGTGAGGCACCAAGTAATGCAACGGCATTCCTTCAATATTTATCGCCTAAATGAACAGAGGTAATACAAGCCCGCGGCGATAATCACCAGTTGGGAAATGTTTACTGAGCCTGAAGGAAAAACACCTGTTCTAAAAATGTTCTGCTGCGCGCGTTTAATTATTTAATACCAGGCACTACGCCAACAAGTCAAAAGCAAACATGACACCTTTATTTTGCAGCAAGAATAGAACATGGAAGTGATGGCGCCATTGGAACGACATTGGAACTACATATTAAAAATGTGTAGTACGGACACACGTACCTTCGGGTCAGGAGGAAAACGGATGTCAACGGCAGCTTGACGAACGACACGCTCCCATTTCGTTCTTCGGTTGTTTTTAGAAAACAGGAACGCTCGCAGCATCGGTCCCTTTGCTGCGACAATTCGCCCCGCAGCATCCCCCAACCGTTCGGATTTCCTGTCATAAAGATTGCGAATATCCAGTTCACAAAACTCGTCACATATCCACGCTGCAGTTCACGGACACAGAAAAAGACGGTCTTCTCAAGTCGCCAGCAAGAACACTAGCACGCCTCGAAACTTTCGTCCGGCTTGCCGATTCATGTCTGTTGAGCGACGAGAACAAGCGTAGGCAGGTCTGTGCAGCGAAACACGCTGCTCGAAACGGAGTGACGTAAGAGCCCGTAGCCGACACAGCGAGCAGGCCTGAAGTAATCTAGGTGGCATCGGTTCACCCTGTCTTGTCATGCTCACTGTAAGTATGCCATATTTCATTCGATAAAGTGTTAGTTGCGAGTACGCGTACGCGCTGTCCTTTACATTCTCTGTATTCTTGTTCGTATAAGCGCAGTTCAACCTTTGAATAATGGACATCAACCAACTAGGCCATCTTGGTACTCTACATCAGTGGGAATAAAAGCAAGTTTCATTCGGGAAGTGAAGCAACCTTTTGTTTAATAAGTAATATAATTTTTTTCCGAATTATGTAGAAGCATTATAAAATTTCAAGACAAGGTTTAATTATTACAAGAATAATTTTCTTAGCGCCGTCTGATGAGGTTGCACACACTTATTATTAGTTGCAGCCCTTGCCATGAGGCATGCTCGTAATGTTCGTCTATGATTACACGCCCCATCATGTGTTTTCATGTTCGGAACTGGCATACGTTCTCTGAATTACATTGGTGATATAGTGCCTAGAATATACTTACTAGGCACAATAGTGGTGGGAACTAAGTTCTTGCAGTGTGTGACATATAGGTGTGTTTCATCGCGGGAAAACTACCTGAGGACGTTGTCTGATCTAGCAATGGTACGATGCGGATACGCGTGGATTTCGTTATTTTTTGATGTGAAGATCACTTTTTTGTGCGTAATATGTGTGGCTTTTTATGACCTGTAATTGTGACAAAGTGACCATATTTGTTCGCGAATGCATATGATTACGCATACAGTCAATGGAAAGTTCGCGCTTGCAAGTGCTTTTTGTTTCTGTGTCACGATCAGGTCCATTGCAAAGCGGCTGTAGTCTTAGTGCGTAACCAGCGCATACCATAATTACCAATCAAACAATAATGAACTTGCCCAGAAACAAGCTTTGCTTTATATGTTTTTAGGGGAACGTATATTTACCGGGGTATCCATGTCCGTAGTAACGAACAAGTGCTGGCAACCAAAGTGACCGTTTACTGGCTTAGTGGTTTCGCATTCGACGGCACATGCGGAAAGCGTGGGTACGATCTCAGCCACGTCGGGTGCATTTCGATGGAGGCCATATAAAATAGACGCTTACGTACTCTGTGATGTCAGCTCCCGTATGAAGGACTGACACTCATAGCCCTCCTGAAAAGACTAATAGCGCCAGCGGAATAGGACGTTAAACGCCCTACGCGAACCTGATAGCGTCCACCTTTCCTTATGGCATGCTTGCTGGTGTTTACTAAGGCTGGTGCTGGTGTTCACTAAGGATGAGTTGTCTCACCAAGCGGGAAAATTGGCCATCAGTTTATCGCGGCGACGCCAATTGCGTCACCTTATGAGGCCGTCATGACTTCTCAGATAGCCTAAATTCATGACGTAATCACATGACATCGCTGCTTTGTCGAAGAAGGAGCGATCGCAGAGGTAGTCCAAAGGCTCTTGAACTGCAGAACATAGCTTCTTATATATACACAAGAGGGCACTAGTGTATATGGCTCTAGTATATATGACAGCTGAAACACATTGCGCTTCTTCAGAAATGACGCCGGCTCAAGGAACACAGATTTGTCTGAACTTCGTTCTTTTGACTCCATGTGACTCTTGTGGCTTTGTCACAAGGCAAAGTTGATTGCATGTTTATAGTGCCGCATGGTGATAGTGCCGGTTAGGATAGT